ATTTGAGAGAGAGAGAATGAGAGAGCACATGAGAGGGGGGAGGGTCAGAGGGAGAAGCAGGCTCCCCGCCGAGCAGGGAGCCCGATGCGGGACTCGATTCAGGGACTCCAGGATCATGACCTGAGCCGAAGGCAGTCGCTTAACCAACTGAGCCACCCAGGCGCCCGATTAAGGAAAATTTCTTTAAAGCACTTTTTTTTTCTTCTCTTTCTTTCTTTTTTTTTTTTTTTAACTCCCCAATCATCTTAAATAGGAGGCGTAAACCAGCGTAGCAGGCGAGGTCCAGAGCACCGGACTCCGCCCAGAAGATCCCGCTCCCGCCGCCTGGAAGGAAGCCGGACCAGATGCTCCCGCGGAACCCGAGCGCAGCGGCTGCAGCGCCGGCCGTGCCCGTTTCCCAGGAGAACGCCGGGTCGCTTCTCGCGGCGCCCCGGAGCAGGATAAAATCTTGCTTTTCCGGTTCTCTGTCCTGGTTCGTGGTGCTGTGTCTCCGCACCCTGCAGACATGTCGGGTTTCAGCCCGGAGCTCATCGACTACCTGGAAGGGAAGATCTCCTTTGAGGAGTTCGAAAGGCGGAGAGAAGAGAGAAAAACCCGCGAGAAGAAGGTGAGGCGATGCTAGGCCAGGATTCTCCTCACTGTCTTGTCGCCCTAATACACCTAGATGTGGGGGACTTATATGGCCCCATTCGCTGTGATGGGGCGGGCCGGAACTCCCAGCAGATTCTTCCCCTTCTTCCCCAAACCCCGGTTCTCACCTCTCATCCTTGTGTTAAGCTCCTCTTTAAAAATTCCCCCCGCCAAAAAGCTTGTTTCTGTGGTAACCTCTGTCTCTCTCTCCCCTTCTCTCGCCACCGCCGTCCTCCCTCACCCCGTCAGAGTTTCTGATTCTAGTCCTAGCTTTGCCACTAAGTTTCTTTTGTGTTCGGGTGAGCAACTCACTCTCTTCTTTAGGCGGCAGTTTATTTCTCAACCGAGGGCCCGTTTCTGAGGCGTCTCCCAGTGGTATTGATGTAATCTTCTACAAAAAGGCGAATTTTCTTGTCTGATAACAAAATCTTCACTCACATAATTTTTCGTACTTTAGAATATCTGAACTTTCCTTATCTTCTCACTTACATGAAGTCCGAGGGAAAATAAAAATAATCTCACCCTTTGAAATTAACTGTGGGTTCTCTCCTAATTCATGCAGCTAATAATGATCCATCTCTTTTCACTTAAAAAGCTAGGATACAATGTGTAGATTCATGAAATCATCAAGGTATTTTAAATTTTTTTTTATAAGTGACTGATGCAGACAGACGTGGGGGATGAGATCTAAGTACTCTGAAATGCTTTGACTGTTCAAGTTTGGATTCCACATACTGTATGTGTTTGCAGAGCTCAAGTTTTATAGAAAGAAAATGAGGGAAATGCCCTATTCCCAACTGGAGAGAACTAAATCTGCATTATTTTTTGGAATCATTAATTTTCAATCACAGAGTCTTCAGGAAAAAGGAAAGTTATCAGCTGAAGAAAATCCGAATGACTCTGAAGTTCCATCATCATCAGGAATTGACTCCACCAAGTCGCGAGACAAAGATGTCAATGAAGGTATGTTAAAATCATTTGCCACCTGCATTAAATATTAAGAGTACCTAATAATTTAATGAAAACATTGTTTTTTCATTGCAGTGGTATTCTGTTGTTGATTACCTGGTTTATCAGCATAGTGCATGGTGTATAACAGGTGCTCAATAATTTGTGGAGTTATTGAATATGGTGATGGGTAGTTTTGTGGGTTATTTTTGTGGAAAAGTGTTTATTTTTATTTTTTAAAAGATTTATTTATTTTAGAGCAAGCATGTGCATGTGCCACTGGGGGGTAGGGGCCGAGGGAGAGAGCGAATCCTCAGGCAGATTCCCCACTGAGCGCAGAGGCCCACGCCACCCATCCCAGGACCCTGAAATCATGACCTGAGCCAAAATCAAGAGTCAGTTGCTTAACCGGCTGAGCTGCACAGGTGCCCTTTGGAAAAGTGTTTCAGATGGGAGCCTTTTTGGGGTCATTGTTTTTTAAATTGGCTCTTTCAGTTACTAATTACTTCCAGACTGTACTCCCCCAAATTGTAATGGTTTGTACTTCTATACAAAGTGACTTCCAAACCACTGCTTTAGTTATAGGAGATAAGATAGAAATGCCAGAGTGGAAGTCCCGTTGGCTGCCCAGATGGGTCCTCACACACAGTAGGTATCTTGGTATGCCGCCTCATTCTAGGATCCAGTCCTCAGCTCTGCCTGTCCAGATACTAGATTTGGTTAGTCCCAAACTCATTAAAGCCATCAGAGTCTAATTGATGAACTAGTATTCAAATCCATTAATTTCCAGTGATTCATATACCTTTCTAGTGATCAGAATACTGATAATAGTTCCTAGTATTCATCTGCCCATGACAAGTTACGTGGGATACTGAACCATCAATTAGAATGTAGCTTTGTGTATAGTGTCTGATTGAGAACTAAATTGAACTTTCTTGTTCTAGGGAGTAGAAGTGGAGGCTTCTTTTTTTTTCCCCCCTGTATACAGCTCTCTCTACACAGAGAATGCATACTAATAGGATAGACAGAAAACAAGCTTTATTCCTGCCTTCTTTGATCAAGTGGAGAAGAAGGGGCAAAAAGGAGAGCAAATTGGGGTTACTACGGTTTCTTACCTTGTCAGGCAGGTGGGGTGGAAAAGAGGACTGAAGTTGTTCTAATAACTTGTGGGTCTTATCTGCCTAGGGGAGGAATAGCTCTTCCATCATCAGGTCTTTGAGGGGTAACTGTAGTAGAAGCACCGTTGGGTGCCTCCCAGTCTTGGTTGACTAAAGCTGCCCCTGAGAAGTGGCCATCAGGCCCTCCCTAGAAAAGGGGATTAACTGAGTCGATTCTTGCTCATCAGGAGCAGTAGGCATCATGTATTAGATTGCCTCAGCTCAAATAATCCCATCAGTCCTTTTAAGATATAAAACTTCCCATTTCCCAGGAAGGAATCATCCCAGAGCTCTATCAGGACCCTTGGTGAGTGTGCACATATATTCAGAACAACAGAAGGGTCAGTTTTGAACAAGTTTGACAAAGTCTGCTAATTGGAATATATGGCCACTGGAATTGTCTTGTGTCTCCTATGCATTACTGAATTCACTGTTAAATTCTTGCTCTTGAGTACCTTTCCTACACATCATGCAAATAGGGCCTTCTTTTAATTTCACTTTCAGTTCATTATTGCTGATAAAAAAACTGCAGTTAATTTTTGTATATTGACCTTGAATCCAGGAACCTGGCTTAATTCATGTATTCTGGCAGTTTGTATGTACATTCTTTTGGATCTTCTATATACATGATCACATCTGTGAATAATGACAGTTTTATTTCATCCTTTCCATCTCTGTGCCTTTTTTCTTCTCTTTTACATTATCCAGGACCTCCAGCAAAATGTTGAAAGGAGTGGTGGTAGCATCCTTGTCTCATTCCCAGTAACTGAATAATTCACCATTAACTGTGTGGAAAATTTTTTTGTAGATACTGCTTATCAAATTAAAGCTATTCCCTTCCATTTCTAGATGACTTAGAATTTTTATTAGGAATGATAAATTTATTATTTTTTTATTTATTATTAGGAATTGGATTTTATCAAATGCTTCTCCGTATCAAGATGATCATACGATTTTTTTTCCTTTCTGTTACTGGAATAAATTTTATTGATTGGCAGTGTTATATTTTACACATTTCTTTTTATATTTATTTTGGATGTTCAGAATTCTTAAGATGATTGTTATGATTTCATGAGAATGACTATTTGTTGCTCAGAATTTGTGGGTTTTTAAAAAATTGTGTCCTTCCTTAAACATATTAACTGTCTGTTTTTTGTTTTTTGTTTTTTTTTAAAGATTTTATTTATTTATTTGAGAGAGAGAGAGAATGACAGACAGAGAGCAGGAGAGGGAGGAGGGTCAGAGGGAGGAGAAGCAGACTCCCCGCCGAGCAGGGAACCCGATGTGGGACTTGATCCCGGGACTCCAGGATCGTGACCTGAGCCGAAGGCAGACGCTTAACCATCTGAGCCACCCAGGCGCCCCTTAACTGTCTGTTTTATCCAACATCCTTAATGTGTCTTTCTTCAGGAGAAATGTCAGATGGAGTCAGTAAGTCAGTTCACAAGGTCTTTGCTTCCATGCTTGGAGAGAATGAAGATGATGAGGAGGAAGAGGAAGAAGAGGAGGAGGAGGAAGAAGAAACACCTGAGCAACCCACTGCGGGTGATGTGTTTGTACTGGAGATGGTTCTCAATCGTGAAACCAAGAAAATGATGAAAGTAAATACTTATTTTAGTATTTATAAATGGAAGGTAAAAATGTGACATAGTAATTGAAAAAGGAATCTTTAAATTATACATATATTTGGAAAGAATTCAAACTGTGAGGAAGGACATATGAGACAACTGTTACTGGTTTCTTATGTTTCATCTTAGAGATTTTTAAAAAATGCAAAACCTTAATTATGCATGTGTCAGAATGTACTGTGGTTTTGCTATTAAAAGGTCCATATTATGGGGCGCCTGGGTGGCTCAGTCGTTAAACGTCTGCCTTCGGCTCAGGTCATGATCCCGGGGTCCTGGGATCGAGCCCCACATCAGGCTCCCTGCT